TGAAATGAACGGGGTTCTCTGTAAACAAAGTGTTCTTATAATAACTTACCCATGGGCGTAGATAGATGAATGGTAAAGCATTGTGGGAGAGAACAGAGAACGACGAATGCCAAGATGGAAAGAATGCTAACTATAAACATACAATGATGATGTGCAGGTCCAATATCCAAAGAGGACGTTACTTAATAATACTCTAATACGTTTACCCCACGAAATTTGAAACGAAATGTACTCCTGTACGGATCCGTTGGTTGGTTGGTTGTTTAACACCACACCCAGCAATATTCCAGCTATATGGCGGAGTCTGGACCATATATATGGCGGGTAATGGTTCCATATAATTTGAGCATATCGTTTTGTTGTGGTTAGGTTTTAAAAGGTTTCCCGTTCGGATGCTTTCATTATCGTCATTGTAGTAATAATATACTGAACCGCAAAAGAAACGTCAGTGCAAGATTTCAGAGCAATCGAGACTGACTATCTGAGGTCTTTGTAAGAAACCTTTTTTGTCCAAGACGGTATTATTTGAATCTCTTTCTTGTATCCAAACAACAAAAGTTATTCCTGTGAGGCAAGTTAAGCATGTTTTCGCTCAAGTAATTTTTCCTTTGGTTAACTATTTTACTCCATATTGCAGTTCCTATTTTATGTGAACTCTGTAGTAACACGCATTAACAAAAGTGTTATGAAATACTTCCTTCAAGGTATAAAATATTGCTATGAATGATTACAAGAACTGACTTCACAGAGGTTCTTGAAAAGCTTTTAGAGGTTGGAAGAGAATAACAAGAACCGGTTATCCATAATTGTGTCATGTGTGAACGGATTCGCAAGCTCGATGAACACTCCATGATCCTCCATGAAGAGAGAGTCAATTATTTCACAATAATGTAATTCTCCTTTTTGATGAACTGTGATACTCCATTTTGCAGTTCGTTGTTGTATGGCTGTCAGTGTAAATACTATATTAACACGCCTTAACAAAAGTGTTATGAAATACTTCCTTCGACGCATAAATTATTGCTAAAAATGGTTATAGGAACTGACTTCACAGAGGTTCTTGAAAGGCATTTGGAAGTTAGACGAACAAGAATACATGAAACATGAACGAGCAAGAATTAGCTCTGAAACGTGGTTATCCATAAAAATGTCATGTATTCATAACTTCCTAGAGTAGGGGGAGCGTAAACGGCGTCACAAGCTCCATGGACACTCCATGATCTCCCAAGAAGAGAGATTCAGTTATTTAATGAAAATAATGCCAACGTGCCCCATGTTTGGTAATATTGATTACATGGTTTTCTTGTTAATTTTTAGATAACTAATCTGAATTTGACATGATCTTGGGCAATTAAAGTGATCATGGTACAACACCGTTTTGGGGTATTTGAACTGGACATGTGTACCATGTTTGATCCCTGTCACACCCTGTCTATCTTCGTGCCAATTGTCCAGTGTGCTTGATATTACCATTGAGCCTATCTATGCTGACAATCTGCTGATATGAAAAAAGAATATATGGTAATATTATCTGGAGGACCTTCTTCAGGGGTCGCTTCTTTGAGGTGCTAGGAGGGCTAGGTGTACTGAAAAATAAAATAATGACTTGGGACGATGATGATATCGTTGACTGAAAAAAATCTGCTTCAAGTCTATGACCACCTGAAAGCTCATACACGCTGCCAGTCCCCCCCCCCCCCCAACCCACCCGATATTACATAGATTGTCCATCAATGTACACGAGGTTCGAGAAGGATGTCGAACCATCGTCCAAGAGCGCCCACAGTCACATGGCGGAACACATGTTTGGCGCACGTGTCCTTGCACATTCCTGGCTTAGCAAGACGTTGTATATTACGGACCAAAACATAGATACAGTCCAACTGATCTCAAGGACGAAGATAGTTCCAAATTCCAATACGTTTTTAAAAAAAAGAAAAATCATGTTTTTTCTTCAGGAAAGTTTTGATTTGTGTCTACAATGATGCAACAAGAACATCAGGGACAGTGTGATGAGTTTGCATTGATATAATGCTACATACCTATCAGATAAAGCTTCACATAACAGAACCAACACCATCTCCTATCACAAGTAGATGTTTGGGATTCTTGAAACTGTCGATACATAGGGATCCATTGACACATTGCAACACTTTCTTCGTATGATGGTCTTGCTAACTTAATCAAAGGGACAAAACCCTTTCCAATTCGATATCAATTTTCTCTCAACAGTCGAGTTGATTTACGATTCCGACTATATCATTAGCATGTGTTTATGAATCAGTGTTTGATACTGTGCTCACAAGAGCTCTGTTGAAATGGAAAAAAATGTATTATGGTAATATTATCTGGAGGACCTTCTTCAGGGGTCGCTTCTTTGAGGTACTAGGAGGGCAAGGTGTACTGAAAAATAATGTTTAGGGACTACAATGATATCGTTGACTGAAAAAAATCTGTTTCAAATCTATGACCACCTGAAAGCTCATACACGCCACCCACCCACCCTTCCACCCCAACCCAGCCGATATTACATAGCCTGTCCATTACGTCAATGTACACGAGGTTCGAGAGGGATGTCGAACCATCGTCCAAGAGCGCCCACAGTCACATGGCGGAACACATGTTTGGCGCACGTGTTCTTGCACATTCCCGGCTTAGCATCAGCTTCAACAATAACCAAGACGTTGTATATTACGGACCAAAACACAGATACAGTCCAAATGATCTCAAGGACGAAGATAGTTCCAAATTCCAATACGTTTTTTTAAAAAAAAAATCATGTTTTTTCTTCAGGAAAGTTTTGATTTGTTTCTACAATGATGCAACAAGAACATCAGGGACAGTGTGATGATTTTGCATTGATATAATACTACATACCTATCAGATAAAGCATCAGATAATAGAACCGACACCATTTCAGATCACATGTAGATGTTTGGGATTCTTGAAACTGTCGATACATAGGGATTCATTGACACATTTCATCGCCTTCTTGGTAAGATGATCGTGCTAACTTAATGAAAGTGATAGATCATTGACATCCATATCAATTTTCTCTCAAAAGCCGAGTTGATTTACGATTCCGACTATATCATTAGCATGTGTTTATGAATCAGTGTTTGATACTGTGTTCACAGATAGGCGAAGGGCTAAACGCTGATTAATGAGTGACCTGCAAAAGTAGGTAAGGCAGTGAATGCTACAGAGCGAGAATGATATGTGAGCGGACTGTGGAACGTAGTAAGGTAGGACAGCTGTTATTCATGACCTCAGATTAACTAACTGATGTTGTGCCTACTCCATACAATAAAACAGACTCTCGGTAAAACAGAACCCGTTATTCTGGACACTTCATCTCCAAGATCATCTGACACAATATTCAGGAAAGGACTTTCCATTTTTCAAATGTCCAGAAAGAAATAACTTACTTTATAAAAACTAGAACAAGTTCTGTGGTGTTAAATATAACACTGTAATTTCAGTATTATTAACCAAGAAAGTTAAGAAAGTATGTTAAGTAATGTTGAAATGTAGGATGCACCACATTTCTAGTTATGAAATGCCCCAATTTACATCTTGACATATGTACACACGGGCACCTGTTCCTTAGATGTATGGAGTAACTGAAAACAGTTCTGAAACACCCCTTCCTTCTACGCATGTAGAGGCTATGAAAGCCTTATCTTGCGCCCCAGCCACAATGAACCGTATGCTCTCAGCTGTGGCTACAGATGATATTAAGATCATGTTATGAGGCTCGTCACTAAAGGTGTTGCTGTACCTGTTTACCGATTCCACAGACTCTTTTTTAATTTCTTAATCATCATTTGACACACGTTTCTGATATAACCGGAATCTTAGAATGGACTTCTTACGATTATGGAAATGATTCTGAAGCTTGTAATTAATACAATTAAGGTCATCCAAGAATGAGAACAAAAAGTGTGTTGGGGTAATTTGACCATTTGCTAAAAGCATAGTGTTCCAAAACAAAGTATACACGACCCAGCAAGGGAAGAAGGATCGTGGAACCGTGAGAAAATGTCTTGGGTTAGGTTACACGATGCTCACGTCATCCATCGCTGCTGCTGCTGCTGCTCCACGTGAGGAGGATTGATGATGCGCTGGTGTCACATGTAGCGCAATGTGCAGAGACTCCTTATCCGGACGATGGGGTTTAACCTCAATTGGGGTTGCCTCTAAGGCACCTATTGTTTTTTAAAGTGATAGTGCTTGGTTAGTGACCTGTATTTCATCCTCATGGGATTTTTCATCAAGTTCAGATTTGTTTAGATGTCATGATATACTCCTATTGGAGAAGCGTATCGCTGATCGTGTGGTATGGATGGTGTTTGACTTTTGACCTCTCGTCGTGATGTCTGTATTTGTTTGAAATTTACTTGTGTGGATTACAACTGCTTTGCATAATGATATACCTAAGTAGATGCACATGATCCTAACAATGGCACCAGCGATCGATATAGATGTAAACGATTTTCTTTTTTAAAATGTTCTTAAATTTGGATGGTGTCATCACAGTATCGATACCCAAACTCCAATGGAATGTACCCTTCTTTGGGACATGGGAAATGATTAAGAACATACCCAAAGGCCTAGGATTGACCAAACAGGTTGACTCACGTGTTGTCGATGGTTGCAACGCGTGTTTATGCCACATGTATATCTCAAGCCAAAGTGTGAGTGACGTAGACAGCAATTGTAACTAAATCTGCCACGTGGCTACACATGCTTCGTTGAGGCCTATGCTTTCTAGCCAGGTCTGGAATGTCTATTGGCGCTTCAAAATCTCTCACGTGTTATTTCACGTGGTGATCAACGGGGCAGTTCTTTCTTAATCGGCGGTAGCATTCCTGCATCCCGTTGTGGGGGTCTATCGTCACGTCCCCTATCAGATGGGCACGTGTAATAAGAAAGGTAAACTATTTTGGTTGACCTCAAATGGATGTCCTTCAGTTATTACAGAAAAAACAAACTCGATGGTTTAAATAGTTTTTAATATCATAAAAAATAACCCTTCGGGGTATATTTTTATTAGCACATAATACCCACAAGTGGCGGCAGGTTTCCGATCAGAAACACAATCGGGGTTTGGTTGGGGTTTGTTTTCATGTAGTTGTGTATGTTCTTTGATCTTGGTTTGGGGCCCCTGGTTTGCGGTCCTGTAGAAGTTGCAGAGCAAGGCAATATTTTGCTTTATCCCTCTAGCTCCCGTCCCTCTAGCCCTCTGCTGTGAATTAACTGAATATCAGTAGCCGCTATTCCACGAGGTCCCCTCCTCGTTAGATCTCCTCTGCTCTTAATGAACACTCAAACAGCAGAACGGACTAGGGAGACTGAGTCGACCTTGATCATGTAAATTTGAATGGACTGATGGTTAAATTTAATAAGTATGTCATGTAGATCATTACTGTTTCCATTTTTGAAGGATCGCTAATTGAATTGTTGCATCCTCACTCTCAATGGGTCTATTGAGGAGGCAGGGATGGTGATCCTGCGGAACAGCACAGTTCTGAGGGGGGAGAGGGAGGCTACAGGTATTAAATTATGCCTTGTAAAACAATTAGGACGAAGAAATAAGAGATGGAGTCCAATGTTTGTTTCATTTGCAATTTGCTCAACTGGCCCACTTCTAGTTGTTCCCATGTCATTTCTTGGGCTGCGCAAATGTATCTGTAAGGATGCCCTCTTCACAAATATCCGTCAGATTCTAGCGCGGGTTTTGGTGTGTGGATAATTTTAGTCTGCAGTTTATCAGAGCCACGAGTTCACGATCTGTGACCACAGTTGGCATTAATGTGATTATGAAGATTTGTTCACCTCTGCACTTCTTCTGGGACACATGAATGGTCAAGGTGTTACTTTCCCAATCATTTGCATCCGTTGCCCTGCGATGCACGAGCTCAGTTGTAACCAATACATACATGTCAGCTGCCTCCACTCATAAATCCCCGGCGTTGTCACTGCTGCCTAGTCCCAAGATAAACAAACAGCCAGCTTTGATATTGATGCCGACATGCATGCCAGTTCAACATCACAACAGATGTCCCACAGAATCTTGGCCAACGAATGTCCATGTTTTTTGTACAATAATTTACTTTAAATCACATGAATATCTGATTAACACATTAGCCACTTTTATTTCTTCCCTTTCCATGTGATGGATTCTTGAACCAATATCGAACTTTATTTGATTGATTTTCATTTGATTCTCCTTCTAATATTGATCTTTGTTATTTGTAAGAGAGTCATTCGGATATTTGGAATCTTCTTCGTTAGACTCATATCCTCACCACTGTAATACGCATCGATCTCTTGTTTTTCATCAATCTGGTTTAGCTTCCAGTCACATATCTCCAGATTCATCACACACATTTCAGAGTGTAAGTTTGGAATGGCCAGGGTGCCTGTGAATAAAAACATGAAACTGTCTTGAAAATATATGTTGACAAGATAAGTATAGTTGTTTACATCCATAAAACTCAGTGACTACTAATACACTATTAAGAGGGACGACAAGTCATTTGAACTGTCTACCACTTAAACTTATTATGGATTCCCTCAGCTCCACAAGCTTCTGGTGTAAGTGACAAAATATAATTTAAAATCATAAACGTATTCATCCGTAGATAGTTTACATTCACACTAATCCGTCCACAATCCATTCACAGTAACTATAAAAAGAGGAACACTTTGACTGGGTAGACAGCTTCTCTATTGCAATGGATGCGACGTGTCGGTGTAGATCCTCACGCCGTTATCAAGCAAATGATGCAGCCATTGCAATAAAGAAGGTATCTGTCCATAATAAGTGTTCCTCGTCATCATACCAGCTTCTAAATACAACTTAATTAGAAGCGACAAAACCCTTTCCACATTCGAAAAAAAATCTCTGCGAAAAACAGAGTCGATTGTACAATTGTGACTATATCATGAGCAGATATTTGTTTCAACAGCATTACAGCTGTATGATGTTGTTTGTAAACAATCGGGTCTGAACCAGACAATCCAGTGATTGTCACCATGCGACACAATGTCAGAGCATGTGTTAATGAATCACTATGAAATAGTGATGATACCAGGTTCATCTGTGGCTGGCATAGTTCGATCAAAATATTTTTTTCCTGGGGCATGTTTCTACAGCATAAAACCTGATCATCCCAAGACTACACAAATGCCTACAAATGTCACGTCAAGTCTACAATAACCTTCAATTTAATTCCTAGTCAGTGTCCCAGACACGTACTCGAGCAAGCAGTGAAACAGTACTGGCAATTTAATATCACTATCTGCGATTTAATGCCAAACCCTTGTCCACCATATGCCACTTCAGGACCATACCACATAATGTAAAGCATCATGAACGTTTCGTATTGAACACAAATCCTCAAGTTATTTCGCCCAGGGTTTTCTAGAGTCACTCCCACCATAAACATTAACTAAAGGAACGTTCCCTCTGCAGCCCTTCAATGCGAAAAGAAGCAATCACGTTTTCTTAAGAAACAACCATTTGTCCAAATTATACTATTTGTCCTGAGGCTTTATGCAAAAACGATAATTCACTGTATATGCTGGATATTTGGTTTGTAGAAGGGTTATCAAAGCCAACTTCGAATTGTTTCGCTCCTGATTTTAACGACAAGAATGTCTGAGTATTCTATTTAAATTAATCATTGAACCTTCGTCAACTGCAGGAAGGTCACGATGGTGCTATTATACATTTCTTTCCCTGTCAAATCCACTGTGACAGTCCATCATAAATACCAATGTCGAGCTGATATCAATCTTGTGTTGATTTACTGATCTGCTACATACTCACAATGATAGGTTGATGCCTTTCCACCTTATTATATTGGTCGGGTTATAAGTTAGCAACTATTTAATGCTAGTTTGAAGTTTTAGCCACTGATGATAGAATAGCCTCATTACTACTTTACATTGCATATGCTCTCCCCTTGTCTAAAATAAATCTAGTGTATTGAATCAATGAACGTTTTCAAACTCAGTTGTCTCTCTAAAAACGAAATGTTTATAAATATCCATTCAACTTTTCACGAACTTATTTTAATCCTACCTTGAAGCCGAAGGAAAAATGATTTTTGAGGTTGATATTTCCGCGAGTATATATATGAATATAACAGGAAGTTTCATTCTGAAAAGTACGATCTATGTAATCCAACAAAACAAATCACCCTTTGCAAATATGAATTTGATGAATTAACTCTGATCATACTACACCTACTCAACCCACGAAATATGTGTATCTGGTTTCCCAAACCGATCCCAATTTTTCTTGACTTTTCTCGACAACTTTTACTACCATTCCAGTTATTCGCTTTACATTGTAATACTCGCGTAAAGGCGAATGTTGGACACTGCCAAAGTTAGGGAAAATTCTGGTTACAAAAATTCTGGTTACACATATTCTGCTTTGGAACTGACAACTGGCATATAATCATTCTTATACGTGGATTTCTTGGGCTTCTGACACGACAAAGTATAAATGTCCAGAAATTAGTGAAATGAGACGATTTTTCCAAGTACGTTGGCACACTCTAAGTCTATGACCAAAGATTATTTTGAATTTTAGAAGTATAATTCATCTGTCTGTAACTACATCTCGAAAGAAAAGTGTATGTAGAAATATTCGAAAATAATTATCTCAGCTTCTTTGACACATTTTGCCTGATCAACGGAAGTTGTTAAGTTTTGAATTGAATTTAAAAGTGTTCCACATAAGTGAGAGAAATGTGTGGATGTCAACGTTTTCATCGTGAGGAGTACATCGAAGCAGTTACCATATACCCCAACGCATTGTGCTCCTTGTAATAAAGAAGTTGACATCCGTAGGTTTCTCTCTCCCTTATATGCATTTGGCACCTTGTTATTTCCACATGTGGCTGTTGCAGTCCAAAATCTAACCCTAGTACATATGAACACAGCTGGATATTTCAATGATTGACATTTGTCTCCCAGTTTTCTGTTATCGTCCACACATAGACTGACTGATATATAGTTCCAGACATAGAGTTATACTATATATAAATATATATGAACAATATAATAAATGTCAAAATGGTGCCCATAACAATCCTTAATAACTATTTCAGGAGAGCTGATCCTATCTAGACATCCAAATCATTCTGGATTTGCGTGGGACTGTCTAGGGTCATGGAGACCCACTAATGAATGGATTTTACAACGTTCTGTCCTTTGTAAGCGATTCACTATAGATTAACGGATCATCTGTTTGCAAGTAGGAAAATTACCTTTTTCAACGAGAAAAACTTTACCATAATATAGCACTGCCTCGTAATCATACTTTTTAATGGGATACAGTTGGAAGTATGATTATTCTGTCCTACACCTCGAATGAAACGTGCATGTAGAAATATATATTTGAATACAATCTTCTTAGAAACCCCTCAGTTTCTTTGACACATTTAGCCCAATCTACGGAAATTGCTTAGTCTTGAATGGAATTTATAAGTGTTTCACAAAATGAGAGAAATGTGTTGATGTCAACGTCTTTATCACGAGGAACACAATTAAGCAGTAAGCATGTACCCCGACACATTGTGTTCCCTTGTTATAAAGAAGTTGACATAGGTTTCTTCCCCGTCGTATGCATTTTGCACTGTGTTAATTCCACATGTAGCTGCTGCAGTTCAAAGTCTAATTCTAGTTCATTTGTACATATCTGAATACTTCCACAAGTGTGCCATACAGCTGCAGTATTGCTGAGTGCGGAGTTACACAGCAAACAAACTTCCATTATTGAATTAATTTCCAGTTTCCATTAATCATTCACACATAGACTGACTGGCGTGGACCTCCAGACATACAGTTATCTTATTAAATATGTATATATAAAAAGGTCCAAATGGGGTCCAGAACAAGCCTTAATTTCAGGAGAGCTTAGGCGATCAAGACAGGTCAAATCGATCTGGACTTGAGTTGAGTCTGTCCTTTGTTACGGGTTTACTATGGGTAAACCATAATTTCTTTGAAAGCAGAAAAATTACCCTTTTTCAAAGAGACCCTCGTTACCCTTAATTTTAATTGGATACAATAGCAAATCAGTATATGCTTTCGGGACATGAGATCATTTCAGGAGAAATAGACGTTGACGTTGAAGTCTAGCTATTCTATTGATCCTGCAACTTAAAAAATGCCACATTTTGACGTTTAGATAAGTCGGTTCAGTCTCACAAAACAGGTTGAAATCTTTGCCTGTCCATGAAATTATAAGAAAACCAATGTATGCGATATTCCATGCAAGGTGACATTAGTTTTGTATGGTCCTTGTTGAACACCAAACTGAGCAATATTCCATCTTTTAGAGTACGTCCTGAACATAATTCTGGACCAAACAATCCAATGATTGACATTAACAAGCTAGGCATTTGTGAACCGATGATAGGTATGAATTAAGTCAGCGAACCTGACCACCCGATCCCGCCAGTCACCTACTACGACAAGCATGGGATGCTGAAGACCACTTCTAACCCGCATCCCGGCCGCTAATGCTATGATGCCATTTTGAAGTGCACCTACATGTATTTCACATTGTTCAAAGTGATTGTTTTTTATCTAAGAAGCGAAGCCTATTCTAAGTGTAAAATAACATAAGTTATATCCATAAACAAAAGTTTGAATTAGATCAATCAAGAGTCAGCGTAGCTATAAACGTCAAAGCCATTTCTCATGTTCACAAAAATATCTTCCAAAAGCAGAGGCGACTTCAATTCGATCACAAACATGCTTCCAATTTTTCAGACACGTGAAGGTCCGGGTTAGAATGAACCTTCAGTAACCCATGCTTGTCGTAAGAGGCGACTAACGGGATCGGGTGGTCGGGCTCGCTGGCTTGGTTGACACATGTCATCGGTTCCCAATTATGCAGATCGATGCTCATGCTGTTGATCATTGGATTGTCTGGTCCAGACTCGATTATTTACCGCCGCCATATAGCTGGAATATTGCTGAGTGCGGCGTAAAACTCAGCTCACTCACTCTCTCACTCCAATTTTTCAGTTCACTATCTGCACACCCGTGGTAGTAAAATGAAGAATTCTATTTTTGAATGAGGAAAAAACAAGAGAGACACCCAACCTACTGTATTTTGAATGGGATATAATAGGAAAGCTGTTTATACTTTGGGGAATGAGAATATCATGTATATCTGAACAGTTACTAACAGCTCTCATAGCTGCCACAATTCTTCATTGAAACAATATGCAGGTTGAAATATGTGTCAATCCTGTCCTTATTGGCACAGCAACGTTTTAAGGCGTATAGAAGGCATATATATGCTTTGGTTGCAGCTGGTGTACAGACATTATTTTACTGTCATAAAAGTAACACTGGTGTGTTTCGATGTACATGCCGATTAGAATACTTAAGTAATTGCAATAGGCTTTAGGATTGGAATTTGTCATAGGCTAATGTTTTGCTGTCCTTTGTGACAGATATATGTCTGCTCTTGTCACTCTATGGCTCAGATTCTGCCGATGTGTTGCTAATGTTTAACTCAATCACTCAGTCACCTTAGATATTCGATTGATTTTGCTCACATGCAACTTTAATTAAATGACATTGTGGACAGGAATATGGAGACCAAACCCCTGCATTATCCGTATTAATTTATACATGGTGAGGTCAGGGCTGCTGACTATATAGTTTAATTGTTCCTAGACCGAGTAGCTCATTGCTCAAAAGAGCAATTACTGGAATGGTCTGGTCTATAGTCCGTTTGGCTCAAAAGCGGACCGATGAATTGCAATCTAACTCGAAATCTACTAAACATATAATACTCAATGAAACACTGATCATAATCAATACATCAGACCAACTCTGTGATTTGTTTGCAGGATTTATGTCCTAAAATTAAAAAAGTTGTTTAACAACCTATCATTAAACTTTTGACACAGTTCACTATTTGTCACGAGGGAGGACTGCAAAAAGAGGAACAGCCAGGTGTACGCGGTGCCGACAAAGTCATTGATTCATTTACCTAGCTGTGCCGTATTCATCCTTTCTCGCACACCTGACTGTCCCTTTCTCTGCACTCCTCCCTCGTAAGAAATAGTGAACTGTGTCAATATTTTAATGATAGTTTGTTAAAAACCTTTTATTTTAGGACATAAATTCTGCAAAAACCTCACAGAGTTGGTCTGACGTTTTCATTATGATCAGTGTTACATTGAGTATGTTATGTTTATTAGTTTTTTAGTTAGATTGCAATTCATCGGTCCGCATTTGAGCCAAACGGACTATAGATGTATTTACAAACCAGTGTCACATAGCTGGATTATTTCTAATTGTGGTGTTAAGCAAACACAAAATGCTAAGGACTTACTTGAACGTGTTCAGAAGATGTACCAACACGAGCATTTTTCTTGCCTTGCCTTCTTCCACACCAAGCAATGCGGGGATATAATGACGACGTTCTTGATCATCAACGTATCGATACATGTATCCATGTTGCATCAGAGGTATGAGTTTGACCTAGAAAATATCAATTTGTGAGCAGTCAAAGAAAATCAACATGTGTGAAGCTATGACACAAATACGGTAAGTGAACATATGACATCAAACATAGTACCTAAGCCTGCCTATTGCAAAACACATTTCACTAAACGATTCAAAAAGTCATATTTATTAAATGTAAGGTCACTTTGTTTCGTTGTTCTTGAAAACCCAGTGTATTTAGCAGTGGTAATGTTCCATGTCACTCTCTGCAACACTCAATCTATATGATGGCCGTCTAAAAATATCGAGTCTGGACCAGATGATGAAGATAGAACACTCGTCAGCATCGATCTATGAAATAGGCTTACGATGACAACCAGGTCAATCGGATTTAGTACATGTTTGTAGAGTGCATATAGAGTATTCGTTATATCATATCATTCAATCATAGCCCTGTGGCACACTATTCATACTGGCTGGAATTCGTACCCTCCTGGACAAGCATGGGCTGGTAAAAAGACAATTCGAAAGGTGCTGGAGGAGAGGATTGATAACCTTTAAAAGAGTTTGATGCAACCATAAACCAGTATCACATGATACTGTACAGGGCATTTAGAGATCGGTTTGTGTTTGAATCATCATGCAGAATGTTGAATTAACATTCGAAACAGTAATCTATTCATCTAGCTGACCAACTTTCGTACTCGGGACGAAACTTAAATCTGAATTCATGATCAGTAGAAGTTGCAAGATGTGGCAGCGCATCTATTCGCATGGAGTAATGGAGTAGTATAGGGAATGATAGTCCTGGCTCATGTCCCCTGAAAGTCATATTTTTTCGATCCATTGCCCTGCGGGAGTAAAAATATGGTTGAAATGATGGTGGACCATCATTCGACGTCTGTAAAATACAAGTGAAAAACATATTAGAGCTAGGATATTGTTAGAAGTATAACGAAACATGAACAAGCAAGAAAAATTGAGATATCAGGATTTAGCGATGGATTCGCTTGGAAGAGTGGTTATTTTCTGCGAAAGATGCCTACTGAAAAAATATCGGTCTTAGCAGGAAAAACGGTACAGATTATAGGTTGGAGTAAGCGGAGAGTCGTGCTCGAAACGGAACCATTGTTTGGGCAAACCAAAATCTTGAGCTTGCGTTAAAAGAGAACTCTATGCGGAAACACAAATACAAATTAGATTTTTAGCAACCGGTCACGACATCGGTTTTAAAGTTAGCGTAGAACCAGCCCAAACTTTCTTGAAAGGTGGATAAACCATAACCTGGCATCAGACCATTTTAACAGTTTTACCAAATACCATAAAACCAACGGATTATTTTATGGATCAAATTAATATCTATGAAACAGTTTAGTGTGAATCTCCTATGATCTCTTTGGTTTTGGAAATGAACGCTTGCCGGGCTGATCTATATCTGACATAAATATGCCTAACCTGGTATATACGATCACCCATGATAGGTTACTTGAGTTTTTGCTTGTTCGTTGTTGAAGGACTCACTGAGCAATATTCAATCTTTCTGTAAATAATCGAGGCTGGACCACAAGCCTGGGATAGACATTATCAGTTTTGGAATTAGAAATTTGGATACGATGACATGAATGAATCAAGTCATCGAGTACGGATGACCGTTTATGTTAAGTTTCAAATATTTCCATACATGCATTTGAGTAATGCAAGGTTAAATATTATTAAATTGAAACGTTATTTTGTGTTATAGCTACTAGGTATAGACTAAACTGAGATCCAAATTCATGAAGATGTTTGCAGGATTTTGCAGTGAACAAAACCAAGAGGGAACATAGACCGACTGCATTGTTTACACATAGCAGTCGTGGATCGTGTTTCATACTCGAGGTTCTTTTGCAAACTGCAACACTTTTCATTTCTGCTGATATTTTACCTAGAGACTATGACAACATACGATTCAGAATACACACACTCATTGAAGTCTTTGAATGACATTTACAAGTGATACACATGATTTGGATAATTCATACATGTCAACTCCTGTATTTTAAGGCTCACAGGCTGCCTTGTAAAAAGAAGGAGACATCCATGAATTCAGCGTTTATGTTCGGAATCTATAGATGGATTTACACATGAAATCCATAAATTCCCTTCTTGGAAGAAAGAGTAAGAAGATACTCCAAAACGCTTTGTTCCTTGAATGAAGAAGCTGACATAGAATATGACATATGCATAAAATACGGAACGCACAGATAAAGGATCACTACGTCCATTGTAATAAAGGTGGCATACATAAATTCAAATTCCGAATTTATAGATAGCAACTTCATTGATATAAGGAGCACATCGTTCATTGTAATAAAGAAGGTGGCATACATAAATTCAAATTGGGAATTTATAGATAGCAACTTCATTGATATAAGGAGCACATCGTTCATTGTAATAAAGAAGATGACATATGCATAAATCCACCGTTTAAATTCGGAATGTATAGATTACAACGTCTTTGTTATACTTCATTCCTTGATTCACGGGGCTTTTGTAAACAAACCTGGTGAACAAAGATATACCTACATATCCATCTTCAGTTCAGGACAATTTGTCAAAAATGAAAGCAAATGTCATTTGAAGTTTACCGAGAAAACAATATGTGAAATACTGGACTTTCTCATTGATAACATTTTTGTGAAATTTGGGGGTAAAACATTTCACTAACAGGTATGCATCCCGATGGGCACAAATTTTGCTCCCTTCCTTGCGGATCTGTTTCTTTATGCATATATAAATCAGAATTTCTGCTTGGGTTGGCAAAATCAAAACAAGGAAATTTGTCCAAGAAGTTTAACTTAAACTTCCGGAACATCGATGATTTAATGTCGTTCAATAACCATCAAATATCCAATTGCCTTCGACTGATTTACGCATCTGAACTTGAAATTAAGGAGACAAGTGAGACCGCCTTAACTGTTTCATGTTTAGATCCATGCATAAATATTCAGAGTGACAAAAATCTCTACAAAGCTGTATGACAAAAGGGATAATTTCAACTTTTCAATAGTCAACTTCCCTTTCGTGTCGAGCAATATTCAACAGCTCCATCTTTTTGTGTTTACATTTCACAACTTTTGAGGTACAAACGAGCGTGCTGTTTTTATCAGGATTTCAAAGAGCGTCATGCAACTTTTGCTCAGAAGTTGTTTGATGAAGGTTACAACATGCAAGGCCTCAGTAAAGCTTTCAAGAAGATTTATTGTGGACATGTGGAAGATATTTCCTAATTTAATGCATCTGTCACAAAAATGGTGTCCGTTGATTCCTTATTTTGACTTATACCATATGTTCCCCGATTTCTGGTGAACAAATGACTTAAAGATTTAGACTTAGCATATGTTTATGACGGGTACCACCGGTGAACCAGGATACGCTCACCTTTTCGCGAACACCTGGTATAATCACTATTTCATAGTGATTCATAAACACATGCTCTGTCACCGTATCGCATGGTGACAATCACTGGATTGTCTGGTTCAGATCGCTTACAAACAACATCACACAGCTGCAATACTGCTGAAACAAACACCTGCTCATGATATAGTCACAATTGTACAATCGACTCTGCTTCTGGCAGAGATTTCATATGAATGTGGACAGAGTTTTGTCGCTTCTATTATCATGAGGAGCACGATGTTCGTTGTAATAAAGAAGGTGACATATGCACAAATACGGCGTATAAATTCGGAATGTGTAGATAGCAACTTCTTTGTTATAAGAAGCACATCGTTCATTGTAATAAAGAAGGTAACACACCTAAATTTAAATTCGGAATGCATAGCCAGCAACGTCATTGGTATAAGGTGAACATCGTTCATTGTAATAAAGAAGGTGACATCCATAAACGTGGCGTAATAATTCGGAATTTATAGATGGCAACTTCTTTGTTTCCTTGTAATAAAGAAAAGGAAGAATGAGTAAGAAAACTCTCCGAAAGGATGAGTTTCTTTTAGTAATGAAGTCGACATCCATGCATCTCTCATTTACAAGCATTCAGGCTAGATGCTATGATGCAAGATACTTATGAAATGCATATGTATGTATTTCACATCGTACAAAGGGTTGGTACATACGGACGACATTTCAGACAGTAAAAGCACGCCATACATGAACAGAGGTTTGGATTACAAGACAAAAAGAGTCTCGTAAAAGAATTATTATTGTGTCGTTGTTGATGTCTTCTATAGTTGTTTGTTTGTCAATATGCTGGGAACTATTCTCAACCCAAACCCTCAGATCATACATGTAACACAAGGAAATGAAAACACGTTGCAATAACATGTTCAATAATCAATATCCCAATATTTGACCACGGTGGAACAGTATTATAATTTATTCTTCATGGTTTAGATCATGGTTTTTAAAAAGTGTCTTGTGGTATATATATGTATATGTTTGTATATATATAGATATTACCTTTCAGGTGCTGGTTAGAGGTGGTAACCCACTAACTGTTTTCCTCCAGAATTTGGGTCCTGTCATCGTTCCTTCTACTGTTTGTGTTGTTGCTGCTGACGTCAAACTGTAGGATTCGTCGCCATGTTTATATCCAGGCAGGAACTGAGTAAACATTTTAGTAGGAAAATGTCGCTTTTAAGGAAATAAACACACTGAAAGAAACATTAACATTCAAAGAGGGAAAACAGTGTAACAGACGTGTGATAGGAACCTATCCATGGCTTCAGGAAATCTCCAATGTATAGTGTGTGGTCTTGTTGGTTGAGCTCAGGTCACAAGTCGGGTGAAGTTAAGAAATGTTGTTCACGGCTGGGTGACCGTGTTTGGCAGCTTGACTCCTGATAGTTTCTTCATCTTGACTCCTGCCACACGAACGAAGTACACGTGAAACATGTTGTGGAGCAGAGTAGTGATTGTAGAGCAAGGTGGTTTCAGTTTGGGGTAGGTGGTAGTAGTGGGTGGTGGTAGATGGAGTCTGTGGGTGGTGGTAGGTGGTATCAGTGGGTTGTGGTAGGTGGCATCAGTGGATGGTGGTAGGTGGCATCAGTGGGTGGTGGTAGGTGGTATCAGTGGGTGGTGG